GTGGTGAGTGTCTGAGTGACAGTATAGACGGGGATTCTCAACTACGAATGACCTGTATGACCTACTAGTCTGGGATCGCTGGGTGTGTACTGGTGAGTGTCTGAGTGACCGTATAGACGGGGATTCTCAACTATGAATGACCTCTATGACCTACATGTACATATAGTAGTCTGGGAATGCTGGGTGTGTGACAGTATGGATTGTCAACAGAAACTTTACCCAGCACTGTGTGACCACTGAAGTTCAGAGTTCACAATATTTCTCCTATAGTGTAGTGATTGTTTTTATGCACTTTGCTTTGCACAATGATTGGATATGGTCCTTCAATTCTTCAGATTGTCAAGAAGGCCATCTATGGGATGCTTCCCAAGGATCTTAGACGACATGATATGATGAAGAGACTTCATCTCTTCCCTGATGAGGTAAGTCTGTAGGAACATTTCAGTGTGCTGGTAGACAGAAAGAGTGGATGATTCTGAATGGCATAATTACTTGTCCATGTTCACCTGCAAGAGGTGTTGGGGCCTTACATAACGTTATGCATGTGAAACAATGCTGATGGTTTAGATGCCCTCTGTTTGCTTCCAATCATTTTGATAATTTCATTTGAAAATGATGAATACATGTAGGTTTTCCTGTATCATTAAATTATTTGAACATTTCATTTCAATCAAAAATACCTATTCTTAAATGATAACACTTTTATGTCTGTTTCTGCAGTTAGTTTTCATCCCACAAAACTTACATTTATAGCTCTAAGACAACACTCGTCTTTCACTTTGACAATTACTACATGCATTAATGAGATAAGACACCCCTCAGACCAATCTTAAGTTACAGACTTCCTGAAGAAGTTAGGATTTGTTGAACACTTCTTCAAGTTCAGTAAAATTGATCCCAAAGTGTTGCGTGCACCATGCGTACAGAGGGGGAGGGGTTCAAGCCAAGACACTATGGGTGTATTCACACGGTTACTCCTGTTAACACAAGTAATATGCATGCTCATTACACTCAGGTGCAGGAGTACTGTATACTGCCCCTCTAGCAAAAGTATACCCTCACTGACCCTTGGGTCGCACTCCAGCCATTTGAGTGCTCAGGAGTTCAGGTTTTACCAAAAGTAGCTCGCTCGAACACACCCAAAGGTCGAGTTCGGGCGGACTGTTCTTGACACAGGTTTCTTGTTCTTGAATGGCGGGAACACGACCAAAGAACACTGTTCTCGAACAGGATTGCACACCACCCCCTCGGGGGGGTTGCACAGGAATTTTGAACAGCTGCAAAAACTAGCGAGATGGCTTACAATGGAAAGATTTGCAAAATTAACATGAAGTATTTTCCAAAACACAGAAATGAATGTTTCTTTTTAAATGGAAAAGAATTTATCCCAGTTTTACAATCTTTAACTCTCGAAGATTGTACATGGACTCTGCTGTTGCATGTTGCTTGCTACTAACTACGAGCGATGACCGGTTATACATTCCCAGCAATCAAGGGGCCGACCCTCAAATAATAAATCGAGCTGTTCTTGAACTACGAGAACAAGCCGCCCGAACTCAGCCAAATTGTACAGAGTGTTAATACACATACTTGCTACAGATTAATTGGGACTATGGTACATGAGGAAAAATAGATGCTTTGGAGACCAAAAATGTTGGGGGGACAAACCTTTTCCCCCCAGCAAATGAGTTGCAGGTCAGTTCCAACTTTCCCACGTCTCAACAAAACAATTTGCCCCCATTTCATCTGTGTTCATGCAAATTTGTTGCATCTTTGCAAAGGAACACTGCAGAACCATAGTAGGGGGCAGTTGTGGTACTCAAGTGTCCTTTCAGTTTTGGGGCGGTGCTTTCTCATTATTGATGGGGCAAGCAGTCCTCATCTGCCCCGAGTTGAAGTGCATCCTCACTGTCCAAGAAGGCTAAGGCTAGTGGGAAGTTTCAAAAGAGGAATTGGTTGCACATGCCCCAGGGGGTGGATTTAGGGAAAAGGAAACATGCACATGCAGAATTGAAAAAGTTAGAAGCACAAAATAAACATTCCTGCACAAAACGTGTGCGTACGAAAACTTTCAACCAGTTTACAGTTTTGAAAGGTTGAGGTTGATGATATCAGCATAGCATTTTTTTTCATGGTACAAACTGTATGGGTCAGATGGTGAATTGCCTGAAGCCAGAATGGGCTCCACGGCTGACTTGACTAATATCGATTATTGCATGTATATTGAAAGGAATAAATTAGGTTTTCATTGTGACAAGTTGTTCAACATGGGAAAATATGTACCAGGTATGCAATTAGGTCTAAAAAACATACATGCACGTGCATGGCGTGCACTTTGTACCAAAGGTTTATGTGTATAGAGTAAAGAATACGTACATTACTGCATGCGTGCACCAATCTAAATCAATCATTGATGGCTGGATGCATCCTACTACAAATGTGCATGAACCTGTGTACACACACAAGTTGTCACCAGACTGCCTCTGCCTGCCTGACTGCAATGTAAAAATGCTAATTCCTGCTTGAAGTAGATCACTCCCTTCCCCATCCTCTCAAAAAATTGCTCATTAATTGAAATGCTAAGTTCATGCATGGGCCAGAATGAATTGTAGTGTCTGGTTTATAGGCTGTTTGAGTCTTTTCTAGAGTTTGAGTTTTTTCTACATAATCCAGCAGAGTAGATGTTTTCAAGGGTAAATCTGCAGAACTCATGGACTGCAAGTTTCGTTTTCTGTTTTCATCATGCAAATAGAAAAATCATTTTAGTGAAACAAAATTAAATACATGTATGACTCTATGATCATATTTTGTAACCTCATTTTCTAATAATGCATTTAAACATGCACCTGTTGCACACTGGACTGAATTGTGGATTTGTTTTCTATCTGCAATTGAGAAATGCAAAGTGTCTGCAATTTTTCCTTTTCAGAATATTCCAGATGATATCCGAGCTAATATTTGTGAGCAGATTAAGCCTCCAAGGGAGATACCCAAAGCCCTGCCAGAGTATAGTGAAGAGGAACAAGCTGCTTTCCCCAGACTTTGGCTCCCGTAAGTAGGCTTGTTAAATAACATACATCGCTTCATTACATTAATTTCAGGCCGAAAATGTAAGGGAGGGGGGGCTGAAAAAAGTTCTGGACAAAATGACCATTGCTGTTAACATTAATAACATCATGGGACATATCATTTGGTATGAAATTCTTTAACAAGCAACTCCAATCCTTTCCCGTATTGCTCCTGACCACTGAGGGCAGTGTTGCTGCAGTTCAGCCACAGTGCTCAATTCAAGATATTGTAAATTAGTGTACAAGAAATAAAAGGGTACATATTAAAGATTGCATAAAAGATACCTGTTGTATGATCCCTTTCAATGGCCAAGATCACAATGTCAGGTCCAAGTTGAGACTAGAATAACATAAGTTGAATCAAAGTCACAAAGTCATGTGTTTGGTCCAGTGAAATCATATGAAAAGATGTCATTCCTTTTGTTTAGAAAAGGATTGGGATTTTTCATAAATATTTCTTATAGTCAGTTTGGGTTGCGTTGTAGTCATGTAATTTTTAACTCAATTCTTTGGTATTTTACTGGAATCTTGCTGAATCCACTAAAACCAGTGGCACATCCTTGCATTTGTTTGTCTATGGAAGACATGTATGAAGCAACATACTGTAGAAAGGCCTAGAGCGGGGAGATTGGTTCAACACTGCAGTTGTAATTCCACCCAAATACTGCAAAGTAATGAAATGTTGAGTAGGGTAGAGTAACGGATACATGAATACTGCTTCACTTACGAACTGACTACTTAAGGTTGTGTGTTGAAACTAGGTTCCCTTCCCCATGCTTTTGGCTGGGAATAGATAGTTCATGCTAGTCATTTGAACAGTGCATAGGCACAACAGTATGTACATGTATTTGCATAGACTTAGACCTGCATTTGCCATAGGTTTGGCCCATTGTTTGCTGTGGCCAAAATGTGTAGGATAGTGTGCGACTGTGGCCAGCATGCATGGAGTGGGTATTGATCAAAAAATAGTGAAAGGCAATTGACACAACCAATGGCACGTTATGCAGTCATGTTGTAGCTGTATACTTGTAGAGTCAAGAGAGACCACTAAACACTATTCACACCATAGGGCTGTTACACAACAACTATTACACTGAACATATATAAATGGGATGGTGTCTCTATTAAATGAAAGACCCCCTCAGACCCTGTAAATTGAGTCTTACAAATGTCAGTGAGTTTTCAAGCACAGCCAAATCAGCAACTGTACATAAAGTATGTACATAACCTAAAATGTTGACTGTTTAGACCCGTCCCTGCATGCCATGTACAGTGTACATGGCATGTACTGGAGTATACTGTAGAAGTGCCTCTCCATTATTTACTTATAATGCAAACATATCCCCTGACTTATCAGACTATTGATGCTGGTAAGACCCACATGGTGCAGGTGAAAGCTCATATGTTATAAAGAGCTGGTACTGATGGGTATAAATAGGAGGCGGTGCATAGCCACTTGTTGATCATATGTACACATCACTTGGCTCCCCTCTCCTACACAAGCCAGGGATATGCATTGTCAAATCTCCTTCTTTTTCCACTGTGTGTATGTACTTAAGACAAAGCTCCTGAGGGAACAAAAATAACACTCATAAATTCCATCAAATTCTGTCCCAACAATATGGGCACAGTATTTCAGGTCTTGTAGTTTGCCTGTTTTTGTATTTGGACTTGATTTCTTTATTTCTTTGAATTTTCAGGAAGGATTCTGAAGTTAAAAGGTAGCACCTGTTATACGTGAGGATGACGCTGAAACCATCTTTTATTCAACAATAATCTCATCAGTGATTCAAGGACAGTGGTTGCTGAAGAGTAGCAAAATCCTTGGCCAATAACAAAATACATGTTGCTGTGTTTCCTAATTAGAGCAGGTTGGTCGTAAATTTTTCGTTTGCTTTCAATTTTTTCGGCCAAAATCTTCAGGGTAGGAAAATTACCAGGTTGTGTTTTATGTTCTTTTTTAACAAACAAGGAAAAATAATATTAAATTGCAAACATAAATACTGTATTGGCTTCAAGTTGGCAGGTTGTCACAGACACTCTGGTTAAGTGGTTAAGTGATAATAAGCACATAGAAACATTCCCTAATATGCGCCGTATAAGAACCGACTATTATTGTTCTTATTAAGTGGCGATGTCTGCTTTTGGAAGGCAGTAGGATGATGGGTAAAAAAGCACATAAATAGGAATACAAAATACACAGTATATATATGTTTGGAAAAAAGTCTGGCTGAGGGATCAGTACCATTGGTCTGTTGGGGGTTCTGTGAAAACAACCAGAAACACACACATATTTTGTTTGGCCAAATGTATGGAATATATGGATTCTGTTTATAGATACACAGACCTTCGCCAAGGTAAATTAGTATGTGGGATTAGATAGCCAGTCATGTACAATGCAAGACTTATGTTCCTCTGTTATGATCACAATAGTATTTAAGAGTAATTTTCTTTCAGCGGTAATAATGTTACCTACCTGAGTGATGATGAACCCCGTAAATAATGTCAAGTTTGCTCTCTTTGCTTAACTAGTTTCAATTCTAGTCTTTAAAAGTTACTGACTTATCATAATTCCACCTTTTTATTAAATGGTACTTTTCACCCTTTCTGATGCAGCATTTATACTTCCCGCCATCAATATATACATAGATTTAATACTGACAAGGCTTTGATCTAGATCAATTCTGAGTGTTCTAACTTATTTATTGAGAACTAGTTGTGTTAAATTCATAAAACACGTTTTAAATTTAAGGTAAGATTGTTAAAACTGGCTTTGTCTTAGCTGTTTAGATCCTGTTTATGTCTGCATTTGAGTGTTTTTGAAGGGGACAGTTCTCTCTGTCATCAGGGACGGGCATTGAGCCAGGTTTACTACTTCATTTGCTCTCGGCTGCAGTGGAGCCTTGCGTTAAACTCTCATGTTCATGCCAAGCTGTACGATGATTACGCACTTCAAGAAACACACTGAAACTTTTAAAACTGCACTTATTATGAGCAAGATGAGTATGGTTTATCGCATGCGTGCCATAAGCCCTCTGATAAGCCCTAGACACAGTGCCTACCTGTACTGTGTGCACTGGATAAGCTGGCCTAGGATTGGAGTGTAGAACGCTGTACCATCAATGTTTACTTTGAATTGTAGTGTTGGGAATTGCTTATACACTGTACATGAACATGTACACATTTATCAAAGAAAAGTCTGTCCATTGTCTGGTAACACTGTACAAAAAGTCTTCATGTTATGAAGTTCTTTTTAAATTACCACCAATGAACTAGTTGATGTTATACAATTCCTATTGACAGATTTATCTGGTTGTAATAAAAATGAGAAATGTTTGAATTTTTAGTAAAGGGGGCTCATGTCTTGTTATCGGATTCTAGTGTTCTCTCCATCCACTTCTGCTCAGAAAATTATAAGCTTACGATTTTATATTACATTTTAGAGGACTGTTGAGACCCAGTTTCCTCTGCCACAATGTGTCTGACTTCAGTGTTTACCGACGGTTTCACGCAGCAGTAATTCGTTTCTATGGTGATAGAAATGGCAAACTGCTTATGACCAACTGCGTTACCCTTTCTGTCATCAATATCAAAATGTGAACTCTGTTGCCATGGTTTCTTGCTGACTGCATATTGAGAATTTACCATAGGAAAAACACAGTGGGGAAAAATTTCACACACTTAATTAGTTTTGCATGTGAAGTCAGTATCTTTGTGTATGAGAGCGCCGACATGCAGGAGGTCGGACGTGGAAGAATATTCCGGCTGATATTAATTAGTTTGGTTGTCACTGACTCTATTCAACGTTTATTTTTAACTTGTCGTTCTCGCATTCGAGAAATTTCCCCCGGTGTATAATGAAGAATGCCTGATCAAATATAAATACGAAGCACAACCTACGTACGCTCTGTCGTCAGTTCATCCCTAATACACACAAAAGCTATTGTAGTGCGGGCATCCAATCAGTCCAGATATTTAGCCATTTGGCACGTAACGGGAAACCCTGCAGACGACGTGGTGTCATCGATCCTGCGGTACCGCTGCACAACCTGGGTTGCACAATGGCTGCTGAGCTCACAGCACATTAAATTTGATGAATATCATGAAGTGCGCTGTACGTCTGATTTGTGCTGACTTGAGGTTTGACTCATAGGCCTAGATGAATGAGCATACATGGTTGTAAATCATAAATTCAGACGTGGAGTTGATAACAGCTTTTGTATGAGACGATTCTGAGATGCTGTCTATGTCATGTTGAGTAAATGTACCCGAACATAACCCATTATGAGTGGGTGGGTAGGCAGGCTAGCGTAGCCCCTAGTGAGTGAAAGGCAAATTTGGCAACCCTCGAGACCTCCGGGAATCATTTACTTGGCTGACCCACAGCAACGCAGGAACTTCAGGCTGATGTTTATTTAGCAAGATTGTGTTTGGAGGTGAATTTGGCTTGTTTAAGATTACTCATAACTTGATATTTCATTTGCTTTTTGTGCAACAAAAATGACATTTGCTTCTAGTGAGACATATTAGCTGCAATCTTGGAGCAGACACAATACCTTAATCTTTGTCTTAAACTTGTGAAAGTTGAAGTAAAAAGCTGCGTACGTAATACTAATCATTTCAACATGGATTACGCTTTTACCGACCCGTCCAAGATCACCCCTAAACAGCCCCGACTTCTGCGAGAGAGTAATGACCCTAATATCAGGAGGTACAAGCACCTTAAGCTCTCTGGGCGAGACCTCTTGGATCCTCCGGATATCCTCTTCGAACTGACCAAACTTGAATTCCTCGATCTTAGCCCTGAGAGAGAGACCTCCTTGCACTTTAAGCTGATGGAGGTTCCTCGTCAGCTATCCCGCTTACAGAACTTGACAGTGCTGTGCCTGGGAACCAACGAGCTAAAAGAGATCCCAGCTGAGCTGTGTGGGCTGGCCAAATTAGAGCGCCTCGTACTCAGCAACAACCTCCTGACTCATCTGCCCAAGGAGTTCCGACAGTTGCAGCGTCTTCAAAGCCTTCATCTGGCCAACAACTTCTTCGAGGAGATCCCTCGTACAGTGTTCTTTTTGAAAAACCTGGAATTTCTGGATGCTTCGGACAACAAAATCTCCAGGCTGCCCCGTGACGTGGGGAACCTAGTTAAGCTACACACGCTTTTGCTATACCTCAATCTCCTCACAACCTTACCGGAAGAATTGGGCAATTGTGTTAACCTCCGCACTCTCTGGTTGGGTATGAATAGACTTGTGAGCTTACCACGTAGTTTCGGGCGACTTAATTTTTTGGACTGGGCAGAGCAGCCTATATCATCAAATCTTGGTGGGAACCCGCTCGAGACACCTCCAATCGAAATTTGTCAAGAGGGACCCCGGGCAATCGCTGAATTTTTTGACGAAAATCCAGGGGCTGTGACGTACACTACTGGTTTCAAGGTCAAGGAAGACGAGAAGGAAATGGAACGAGCCCATACCGATGACGAAGTGCTTGCTTTGTCAAGTTCAGGCGACCTGGGATCATCGGGTACTTGGAGCTTGGGGTCGACGCAGAGTTTTCCAGGGGCCGTGTCGGTGGATAAACGAGCAAGAGCAGGTGGTGGCCGTGTGGGAGCGACGTTGGGACACTAAGGCAAGAAATGATAGTTGACTAAATTAGAGTGACGTATGAGATGTTCAGAAATTGAAGCCAGACTGCGCGCAAACACTTCTCTATTATCATCTCTATCTCAGTGCCTGCTGATGTTCATGTTCTCAATGTGTGTTTATTTTTGTCAGTCTGTTGTTACAACTGTGTTGAGTGCAGTCATGGCATTTGTAGTTACAGTGGAATTCGCTTACTGTCGTTTTTCTTTTAGGGGGGGGTTCAGGTGCCCTTACTTCCTCGTTTATATTTTTCCGCAGACCCGCACGTGACAAATCGAAGCATTCATCAGAAGGGATCGAAGGACCGTGTTCTTTAGCTAAAGTCGCGCCTGATCGTCATTTCACTTCTCCTGGTTGCAAATGAGGGAACTGTAGTAGCCGCCCAAGCTAACGTTTGTCATTATTGCTCGAAAATTAGTGTGATTTAAGGCTGTGTGAACTTGGCTGCCTTGAAGGCTAAAGGCGGCAAGTTATGCATGTTACTTTGAGCCTTTGTCGAGACTAACACATATCCAAAGGGCTCCCATATCAATGTGGCTCTTTTGTTCATTTATTTGTTTGTTTTTTTTTTGTTTGTTTTTTATTTTTAGGTTTGCTGTTAGTAAAGGTTCATCCTAAAGGGGTCTCAACTAAGAGCTGGTCTAGGGGATGGATTTCGTAAAGAAAATTGTCGTAGTGGCTAACAGCAGGAATTGAAAACAATATGGAAGATCAATAAAACCACTTTAATTGCCACCTAAAACCAGTCGGATTGACCATATTAGCTATTTGCAGGGTAGTATGATTCCAAGACAACTCGTGATGAAATCTTAGGTCAGGTATCACCCACGGATATAAGTAGATCATGACGCAACATGTCAAGGGTTACAAGGAAAGCCCTGGGCAGATATCGCATCTTTAGATGTATGTGAAGGCTGTTAATATTTGCGGCCACTTTGAATTTGAAAACATGCAAAAAACTCCAAAAATGCATAGGAAGAGAGCAACATTGAGTTGCGTATGGGCACAAAGCATAAGAAAAAAAACCCCGATCAGTGCTCTGTTCTCTCGGTCTGCTCCCGATCTTAACGAGTATCCCTTTTACCTTCACTAATGAGCATACATTAAGAAACTTTGTAGTCATGAGCGCTGCTTTTTGTTCAATAGTGTCCGGTGTGATGAACAGCGCCGCCATAAAGTATTGTGTTAATCCCCCCCCTTCGATTTTTCTGAGGTCGGGTGACCGGCAAACAAACACTGTTATTATATTTAATCCCCCATATCGAAACGACCTTTGGTTGCTAGGCCACTGTGACGTGACAGTACTCGAGGGTGTGAGCATATATTCTGACACCTGAAATTTTCGTTGATCCGTTGTGGTAGATCAAACCTTTAGGTTGCATACCCAAACACCTCTGGGGAAACGTTTGTACGTTTCTCCATTAGTGCTTCATGTGTGTGCTCTCCTTTTAAAGAACAGTGGTACCTTACGACTTCACATGAAATGTACATACTTTTTCTTTTATAAAAATTGCAATTTTCAAGGAAAGCGGTATTTAGTAATAAGGATTTGAATGTTAGAGTGTAATTATCGAAAGTTTATTGTCTGCTAATGGCCTTTCTGAGGATTTATGTAGATGTATTTCATTAAGTGCAACGATAAATGGTGTAATGGTAATGATCTGAAATTGGGGGACTACAAATGTGTTATAGTCTTGTAAAATATTTGTGTGAAACAAACTACTTCTGTTTTGTGCAAAACCTACCAGAAAATATAACAATTATTAATATTACCATTGGATAACGAAGGCCATCAACATTACTGGCATCACTGTTTTCAGCTGATTTCAGTGTCATAAAAGTATTTTGACACAGATAGCAAAAGTTTTTGAACAAAAAAGTTCGGCTGACCGGCAAGAGAAACCACGATTCCTGTCAGTCTGACCAAGAAAATCGACTTGCACTCAAACCTCTCGTTGTCAGCAGACTGTGACCACAATCACTTTACTACCGGGCACCACCATTATGGATCTTCGTGGAGAGTCCATATCCATGGTTATGCCACATTCCTTGTTTCTTTGCAATACCTCAGCTGTCTCAACCCCGGCTTATATTAATGCTCGCGTTTTGTTTGTTACATTGTGTAATGAGTTCTTGACACAATTTTCGCCACGTACGTTTAGTTTGAAGTTCTTGTTCACAATAGTCCAAAGCTGCCCACGACCACCTAAGAAGGGTCGAATTGCACTGCTCCCTAAACGCACATTTCTCAATCATTCTTGTAACTTTAACCAAAACCCAATCGTCTTGTGTACTCGCAAGAGAGAACAAGGGGTCATTCATAGTTCACTAGTTTTGCGTCCGAGTTGCGGTGATAAGACATTGCTTAAGATTTCGTTGTCCTCATTAGGTACACACGAAAGTGCTGACATGTTGTACTGCTATCTTAATCGACACGATTCACTCTTCTTTCTAATAACGTACTGTTACGTAGTCATTCTGACGGATTATCTTGTCAAATTTCTGCTCTGATGCCATGCGATGGTGTTTCAGTATTTTAAACGTGGTGGACGTTTTCCTTGTCATAGCCTACATATTCAATCACTGGAGCCAAGTTAGCGTGTGGTGTTAGCATTAGAATTCCTTGTTGTATACTTTTGCCAGTTACACTTTAGGAAACTTTTATTATTTGGACTCCTCAACTAAAAATTTTGATGTTCGTACACGTACATGTATTTATTAATCTAATTCTTTCAAGTCTATCGTTTTTTAATTTCTTGTATGACTTGATACAATTCAATCGTTACGATTGCTACCTAAACCATTTATCTGTCTATTAGTGCATGCAGGGACAGTTTACTGTAATGCAGTTATTCAAATGTATTTTTTTTTATCTCGGCAAAATTGATTCTTTACGATGTGCATTGTGTTTACGATAAATGTTTATGTTTTATTTCAATAATAAATTAACGATACACTTGTTGACTACTCAAATGGAATAGGTGCTATATTGTGAGCGGGTTGTTGGTTCTACAGGGTCAGCATACATTTTTGTATGCTTGCATGTTTATGTATAGGAGTATGTTTACCAGAGGAAAATAATCAGTATCTCTTGTTCGTAATTCCATCCATCTATTGCAAATAGCTCCACGGAACAGCCGTCGTTGAAGTTACAATCACCTTCCCCACTCAGTGGGGACATCGAGAAAACAGTCACATTAGGTAAACGTCACTCGATTTATCATCGATTTAGGCAGCGTTATTGCTAGGCTGACAAAAATACGCCGGGGCCCAAGGGGCATCGCGGCTAACGGCGGTCAGACTGTTTGTTGAAATTTCTAGGAATGGAGGTTCCCCTGGCACTTACACTCCGTTCCCGGTCCATAGATCCCGTTGACCTATTTCTTTACCCTCTTTTATCTAATCGCTCTGAGACTTGCTTTAGCCGACATTAAATACTGAGGAGGTCGGCTTGTTACTGTTAATCATCAAAACTATTCGAGAACTCCTATGCCTTTTTGTTTAAAGTAGGTCTAAGCTTATCTTCGTAATGGTTTTGATTGACAGATTAAAAAATCTTGAAGTCTTTTACTGTGACCATTGTTGTGAGAGCCTCAGACTTCCTAGCTTCAATTAACGTTTGTGATAGTTGGCTGACTGAAATGTGTTTTGCTTCGTTTGAATTTCCAACGCTGGAAACAAATGCGTCACGTTTTCACCTGACAGTCTTTTCTAATCATAAACGCTTAGCAGAATAACGTTAAAATGGCTTTTGTGCTCAAATGTGTTTGGAGTTCTTAACTTACATTCGACCCATTGAGGTTTCCTGCTCGAAAGTCCACTTGCATTGTCGAGTTTCTGTGACTATTCCAGACTTCATCAAGTAGCTAAGGATAAATGAGGCAAGGCATTCGGTTTACAGTTACTAAAACCAAATGCTGTTTCATCAGATGAAGTGGCACGTACGAAATCAGGGGTTAAGTGCGGTTCACCGCAATGTCAGTCTTCCGTCAATTACACAGGCGTCGCTAGAAGTTGGAATGCGTGTTACCCCCCCCGTCCTCGCTCTTGTCTTGATGATGGTCCATTCATCCCTTGTTTTCTAATCTCATAAACTGATAAAATGTTTTAAAGTCAGTTGGTATTACCTGTAGACCAACTATTGATAAGCATCACCCCGTGAATGCACAAAACATTCAAGCGTAAAGAACTGACATGTCTTGAATTTCACTAAGAAAAGTTCTCTAAGTTTCCTTCAGAAAAAAAAGTGATGAGTGAGAAAAAAATTTTGCCCACCCAGAATTTAGAACTTAAGAAATGGTACCCACGAAATACCTCATAACTTAATGTCCTTTTAAAATTTCCATTTCTAAAGCTGTTTCGGGACCTTTGGTTCATGCTTAGCATTATGTCATCGTGCATATTCGTGAGCAGATATCGAGTGATGGTGATGGCACAAACACCTCTTTATTTTTATTAATAAGTATTTATATTCGTCCATCCAACAGCGCATTTGGCGCAAACAGGGAAGCATCCAGGGGTCAGAATCCAGAGGCACAGAAGAAAAAAAAGGGGGTCCTACTGCTGACATTGCACCACAGGGTGCCTTGAATCCAAAAATGGCCCTGGACCCTAACCGTAAGGGCTTCGCGCTATGCGCTCGCGGGCATTTTACCATTGCTGCTTCAGTTAACACGCCTCCCTCCCCCCTTGTGGAAAATATGGGATCACCCCCCTTGGGAAAATCCGGGATCTGCCCCTGGCCAATTACAGGATAAAGTGATAGTTGAGAAGTCAACGAAGACAACCCTGGATAAATATTCCAGGGAAAACCCGCGGAATCAAGCATGGCAGGACTGAAAACCCAATCCACATTTTAACCTAGGTGGGATTCGAACCCAGGTCACCGAGGTGGAAGGCGAGGAAAGAGCCACTACACCAACCTGACTCTCCCTGCCGTTACATCGGACATTGGTCATTTTTTCCTTCCTTATTGCAAGTGATTGTTATCTTTTTTGTTTTTGTTTTGTATTCTTTATTAAGCTCACAACCAGTCGGTGAGAAAAATCCAAAAACTGTTAAAACTGATGAGCTACTACATTTTGATTTGATATGAGTACAGAAGAATCCCTTTGTTGAAAAGAAAGCCATGGAATGAAGTGTATGTCATGGTAAGTTCATTTCCGTGGCCTTTCAAAGAAACACTTAGCATTCAGTTCTATAGGATCGCGAACCAAGTTATTTGCGAACGACAGAATTCTGCTTCCCTGTGTTGGCAGAGGAATGAGCCACTGAGACTCACATTGTGTCAATATGTTGCATTTTATGAGCTATTATGAAGGGGGCGTTACCGCCCCATCCCCTCAATAAACGAAGCTGACGATGACTCAACTGAACTAGCAAGGTAATGTCCTGTTCTGAGCTCCCATGACGTCATGAACAGTTCAATCAGGAAGCGGAGATTGGCTATCCATCTTAACTGTCCCCTCAGAACCGCTTGCTGGTTTGTCTCGGTAAGGTCGAAAACCTCGTCTCCCTGACATGTCAATCGGTTTGATAACAATTACCACCCGGGTGTCGTGCTCTTATGATTGCAGGCCAGTAAATAGGCCCAAAATTGCTTGTGTGGACCAAATCACGATTTTTGCAGGCTGTCGGATTCTCTGCTATTAGAGCGTTTCGTGGAACATGTACTGGGTGGTTTGCTAAGGAGGGGGATGGAATCTAGGAGCAGGGCTGTCAGCTTGTATTTCTGAAAGTATCGGATCAAAGTAATGGGGCCCTCCAAATTGCTCTGTTTTGCAATGGAGTGTTTGGTATCAATTTTCAAAATAGCGATGGGCCTCATAAGTGTTTTGAGGGGTGATTTTCTCTAGAGAGAAATATCTTCAAAAGTCATCGGTTAAGCCACTGAAAATTGAAAGGAAAATAAAAGATTAGGAAGTGAGCTTCAATTTGATATGTGTCTTGAACACCTGAGAAACTTTTTAAAATTTAATTTTGTAGTTTTATTTTGTTATTTCAACTTGTGAGTATTTTTCCTGATATTTCACGTGGGGATATTTATCACGGTACCTTATTTACTAGTCTGCAACCTTACGCTGGAAAGACGAATTTTGGAGTGCATATCGCTCAGGAGTCGTGCTCAAATGTTGGAGTAGTGCATATCGCCCTCTGCCAAGACTCACCATTGTATGCAACGACTGTTCCATGTTTCGCCGCACCAAGCCAATTCAATAGGGAGTGGTTAGCTCTTCAACAAATTCGATGGTTGGTGGGAGGTAAGACAAAACAAGATATTCTTGTTGCGATGTGATCGTGAAGTTTGATGAATGGGATTGGGATGTTGAGAATATGTAGCAGATATGGCTGTATAAGTTTGTTGAAATCGCAGCCTAAGATAGATTAAAATGATAGCAATGTAGTGTTGTAGTGGTGAAATGATTAGAACTTGTGGTTTGGATGTAGGTAAAGAATAAATAAACAATAAAAAGGTTATCTCCAGCAAGTTATGATTTGGACACAGGCTTTGAGCGTGATGGGGGTGGGGCTGTTCTGTGCCCTATAAATATTCCATTGGCAAGCACTCTCCAGATGTTATTCTGGCAAACCATTTATGTGAACTCTAACTGACCCTGTGCGATATTAACACCCATATTTCATCAGAAACCGATATGATGTCGATTCGCTTTGTCACTCTGACAATGTAATCATCTGATTTTGCCTGGACCGTCGACACTACTTGTCGTCCATCGTCATTGGCCTCCAAACCAATGCTGCCCCTGAGTCACGCGCTCAGTCATCAGGGAGCCATTTTAGTCAACCAGAGCGGACCACCGACTCTCTCATTCTCAGTTTTTCCCTTGAATGTCTTCAGTTCGCTCTGAGTGGTCCTTACCTCCAGACTACCTGGCTACGGCCCAATGCATTACGTTGATGGATGGTCCTATACCGTCTGGACAGTGTACTGTACTCTTGGGTATGTTCCAGAGTCTTAAGGTGGGATCCTACTAGTTTCCCAGGAAATTTCAAGTACCCTACTAATATTATTTATCGTAATTGATTTGACATTTGTTAAAGATATATTGGGGACGTTTCAAGTGGTTGAAGTTGCAAATGAATGCATTCATTCTTCGAAGCACTGGGGAAAGCTTTGCTTACGGCTTACAGAGTTGCGAGGTCAGGGTTAACACAATACAAAACAAACTCTTCGTGCACTCAACTCCCTGTTTTCTGGTTTTGTGGTCCACCGGCCTCCACTCCCGTGTTCGCATGTTTTCGCATAATATATTTGTGGGAAATTCTGAACCATATATCTTTCTTTAATATAATTCTCCCGAAATAAGTTTGGTCAATTTTGACAGGATTCGATTTTGTATTGTGAGCAATCCTGGCGTTTCGAACAAATAAGAGCAAATGAGGACACTGTACCAGCCGGCAAGAGACTAGGGGATCGAGTTTGTAAAGCGCCTCGTACGCGAGACTCGAGTCACACAGCATAATCAATAGGGATATGTTCAGTGTTGATAATCAAGGACCGTTTGGTGGCTGAGGGGTTGAAGTCTGCTTTGTGAGGGTTGTGAAGCAAACAGAGATAGACGCCGAAAACAATGAACATAGATTACGAAATTTATTGCGTTATTTATGGAAAGGAAGTTTGGACATTTGTTCCAGTGGTAACAAAATGGCAAGACAGAATGGACAGTGGTTAGTCACTGATACAAAAGCACCCAAGTCTGCCCCAGTCTTGCTAAATCTATCTGGACCAGTAGATTTTATCAACTCTAACAAATTTGTGTTTTCAATAACCAGGTACAAAGTTCCAAATCATTTCTTGATCGTTGTTTTTCATTTACACTCGCCATTTAATATTTTAATATCTATTTTAGAAGAATGTACCGGCCGTTGTGTTTTAATTTTTACTTTTGTTTGACGTGATGCAATTCAATCATGGACTGCCACATCCATAGTAAGAGAACAAAATAAACCATTTTACAATGAAAACTAAGAATACTGTGATATAGCTAGTAATCACAAACTAACTTACACAAAACGATTATCGTGCATCTTGCGAAAAGACGTATGTCCAAAACTGTCCCTTTATTTAATACTTATTCTTTCTAAAAGTATAAACAAGTAAATACCTTTGAGTCATTGTTTCATTTAAACGTTCATTTGCAAATGACTTTATAGCTCGATAAGCATTGGGCAGTCCAATCCAAAATACTCGACCGGCTACTTTGAGGCCGTCAGTGTAGTGTCCATTGTCGTAAGGTGTGGTCGGCAAAAATAGCTCGTGGTATACAGTCCATCGATGACCAGAAGGTACAAGGTTTCTAAGTACACTCTGCAGTAGGACTGTTGCATTTTTACAGCTCTATTTTTACTTCCGGAAGTGTTTACATGTGTGAGATGTCATGGTTTCGATTCATGAACTTGAATACAATTGTGCGAATTTAATTTTTAAACAACTTTAATCAAGGAAACCTCCTCAAAAGATTAGCAATGAGTAAAGCCTAAAAGTCCCAGACGAAATCTCGTTATTCCAAAATATCAGATTAGGAAACATTCGCTGGAGCATTGAGTGCATGCGCCAACTTGACTCAGACTCAGCCATTACTTATCATGGATCCGACCACAGTGTATGATGCATGAAGCCTCGTAATGGCTTCTTCCTACACAGAGAAAATTCAACATTTAAGAAGTAACAACGACTGCTTTTCAAAGTTCCTAAGATATTACAAACA